AGCTGATTATGTGACAGGCTGGGAGAGCTGGGGGGGCTCACCTGGAGAAGAGAAGGATCCAGGGAGACCTGAGAGCCCCTTGCAGGGCCTAAAGGGGATCCAGGAGAGCTGGAGAGGGACTGGGGACAAGGGATGGAGGGACAGGACACAGGGAATGGCTTCCCACTGCCAGAGGGCAGGGATAGATGGGAGATTGGGAAGGAATTCCTGGCTGGCAGGGTGGGGAGACCCTGGCCCAGGTTGCCCAGAGAAGCTGTGGCTGCCCCTGGATCCCTGGAAGTGTCCAAGGCCAGGTTGGAGCAACCTGGTCTAATGGAAGGTGTCCCTGCCCGTGGCAGGGGGGTGGAACGAGACGATCCATAAGATCCCATCCCAACCTGTGTGTGATTCCCTGCTCCCTCTTGCTTTGCAGCCCCGCCTTCCATCAAGCTCCTGGTGGACGACCCCATCGTGGTGAACCCGGGCGAGGCCATCACCCTGGTGTGCGTGACCACGGGGGGGGAGCCGGGGCCCAGCCTCACCTGGGTCAGGAGTTCGGGGGCGCTGCCCGACAAGACGGTGCTCAACGGGGGCACCCTGACCATCCCCGCCATCGGCGCCGACGACGCCGGCACCTACAGCTGCATCGCCAACAACAACGTCGGCAACCCCGCCAAGAAGTCCACCAACATCATCGTCAGAGGTGAGTGGGGCTGCAAAACCATCTCAGAAGGGTGTTGGAAACATCACCTGGCAGAGTGGTTGTCACCCAGGGGTGTCTTGTGGTCGTGGTTGGATTGATAATCTTGAAGGTCTCCTCCAACCTGGAGGGTTCTGTGGTTTCTGCTCATTTCTGACATGAGTTAGTGTTGCTTCAAAGTGCTGGAGGTGGAACAAGAGTGGTTTGGTGTCTCTTTGTGTGGGGAAGATGGAGCAGCTTTTCCATGGAAATTGGTTTGTTGAGGTTGGAGAAAGGAGATGAGTGGAGCTGGAAAACCACCCACCTGCATCTTGGAAGGGTGTTAGAAACCTCAGCTGGCTCAGTGGTTTCCACTTAGTGATGTCCTGCATTTCCAGGTGCTGGTGGTTGGATTGATGATCCCAAAGGTCTCTTCCAACCTGGAGGGTTCTGTGCTTCTGCTCATTTCCGGGATGAGTTAGTGTTGCTTCAAGGACCAGTGGCTCTTGTGCTGGAGGTGGAACAAGGGTGGTTTGGGGCCTCTTTGTGTTGGGAAGATGGAGCAGCTTTTCCATTGAAGGTGGAGAGAAATTGGTGTGTTAAGGCTGGAGAAAGGAGGTGAGTGAAGCTGGAGAACCATCCACCTTCCTCTAGGAAGGGTGTTGGAATCCTCACCAGGCTCAGTGGTTTTCACTTGGTGGTGTCTTGTGTTTCTGAGTGGTTGTAGTTGGACTGGATGATCTTGAAGGTCTCTTCCAACCTGGAGGGTTCTGTGGTTTCTGCTCATTTCTGGGATGAGTTAGTGTTGCTTCAAGGACCAGTGGCTCTTGTGTTGGAGGTGGAACAAGGGTGGTTTGGTGCTGCTTTGTGTTGGGAAGATGGAGCAGCTTTTCCATGGAAATTATTTTGTTGAGGTTGGAGAAAGGAGGTCAGTGGAGCTGGAAAAACACCCGCCTTCATCTTGGAGGATTATTGAAATCCTCATCTGGCTCAGTGGTTGTCACTTAGTGATGTCCTGCATTTCCAGGTGTTTGTGGTTGGATTGATGATCCTGAAGATTTCTTCCAACCTGGAGGGTTCTGTGGTTTCTGCTCATTTCTGGGATGAATTAGAGTTGCTTCAAGGACCAGTGGCTCTTGTGCTGGGATCAAACCCCTGAGGTGGAACAAGGGTGGTTTGGGGCCTCTTTGTGTGGGAAAGATGGAGCAGCTTTTCCATTGAAATTGGTTTGTTGAGGCTGGAGAAAGGAGGTGGGTGGAGCTGGAAAGCCACCCACCTTCCTCTTGGAGGATTGTTGGAATCCTAATCTGGCTCAGTGGTTTTCACTTAGTGGTGTCTTGTGGTTGTGGTTGGATTGATGATCCCAAAGGTCTCTTCCAACCTGGAGGGTTCTGTGGTTTCTGTTCATTTGTGGGATGAGTTAGTGTTGTTTCAAGGACCAGTGGCTCTTGTGCTGGAGGTGGAACGAGAGTGGTTTGGTGCCTCTTCGTGTTGGGAAGATGGAGCAGCTTTTCCATCCAAAGTGGATGGAGCAGCTTTTCCTTGATCATCTCGAAAGTCTCTTCCAGCCTTGAGAGTTCTGTGGTTTGTGCTCATTTCTGGCACTTTGGACTGGTCCCTGTGCTTTAATTATTCTAAATAACAGGACAAACGTCTGTCTGGGGTAAAAGGAAGAGAAAAGAGGCTGCAGAACAACTGCTGCCAGACGGAGGGAAAGTCTCCCTGGTGGTTTATACCCTTCTGGATAATCCAGGGATGTGGGCAGTTGGTTTGGAGGTGGAGTTTGATTGGTATCATCAGACAGGATCAATCTCCCTGAACCAAACAGTTCATCTGAAGCTAATTTTCTATAATTTACTCTGTAGATTAAAGAAATGAAACTCAGCTCTTTTTTACCCCCAATTCTTTGCTTCCTGCCGTGATTCCCCCTTATTATTTCTGTTAAAGGCCTTTAGAGGAGAAAAATCTTTATTCCAGTGTTGGTGGATTGACCCTTCCTAAAAATGATGCTGAGTTTAGGAGTGAAATATGAGACATAGCAGAGTTGTGGGTTGGGTTTGTGTCTATATTTCCTGACATTTTGCCTGTGGTCCTTCCTTCTCTCCAGTCCAGCTCTTTTTTGTCGTTGTGGATCAGGATTTTCACACAGCAGCTGAGGAGAAAAGAATTTGCTGGAAATAGGATCTGAGCCAGGCAGGAGAAGCGTTTGGGAAATGGAGTTCACAGCTTCTGGCAGGTGGAATATGAACTTCAGGATTAGCCAATAATCCCCTAATCTGACCCAGAAAGGAAATTTCAGTTGTCTCAAAGCATCATCAGGGCTCAGATGAAATTTGTTCCCTTTAAAATTCCCTCCATTTCCCAGTGCCTTTATCTGAATGTGCTTTTATTCCATGTGCTTCATTCCGTGGGTGCTGAAGCTTCCCCATGATTTTTTTTTCCTGGGTATTTTCACTTTCTTTTTGTGGCTGATGACCCACCACACCTGACTTCAAACCAGGAAAGGTGGGGAGGGACTGTGGACAAGGGATGGAGGGACAGAACACAGGGAATGGCTTCCCACTGCCAGAGGGCAGGGAGAGGTGGGATAGTGGGAAGGAATTCCTGGCTGGGAGGGTGGGGAGGCCCTGGAATAGAATTCCCAGAGAAGCTGTGGCTGCCCCTGGATCCCTGGAAGTGTCCAAGGCCAGGTTGGAGCAACCTGGGACAGTGGGAGGTGTCCCTGCCCATGGCAGGGGATGGGATGGGATGATCCCTAAAATTCCTTCCAACCCAAACCATTGTGGGATTCTCTGATGCTTGGATGGCTCCTCCATCCAGGAGGAGAACACAAATTCTGGACAGCATCTGTGAGGGTTCCTGCACATCAGGTTGGGAAACAGAGCCAGGGAGATGTTTTTCAGGTCTTTAAAGTCCTTGGATTTAGAAATCATGGAATCATTTAGGCTGGAAAAGCCCCCTCAGACCATCGAGTCCAACCATCCCCAGCACTGCCAAGGCCACCACTGCCCCATGTCCCCAAGTGCCACATCCCCAAGGATTTAAAATCCCTCCAATTTCTGTGCTATTGGCAGAAGAACCTTTTTTTCCCATCCTGGTTTTCCTCTCTCTGTCCTGGGAAGGGTTCCCAACAAGTAGAACTGGATGAATTTAGGGATATGCTTCAGTGCTGGGTTTATGGTTGGACTTGACGATCTCAGAGGGCTTTTCCAACCTAAACAATTCCTAATTCCTGGGCAGCCTGTCCATTTTTTCCTCCTTAGCACCTTCTCCCATCCCTCCTTTAACCAGATCCCTCAGAACTGCAGCACATTTTTGGGGCCGTTTGACTCTCCCTGGGTAACTTTTCCCTTCTGGGAAGAGGAAACGTCCTCCCTGGAGTTCATTTTTCCAAGGGGTGGGGGGTGGAATTCCAAGGATTCCCTGTCAGTTTAAACATAAAATCCTGCCCTGTGCTCAGCACTGGCACAAAAGCTTTGGCTGAACAAACAGCATTCCCGGGAAATTCGGTTCGAGGCCGGGATTTCTGGAAGGACCTGTGGAATTATGGCCTTAAAAACTGGGTGTGAACTGCTAAAAAAAGGAGGTTAAGGGGGGAAAAATAGAAGAAAGAAGGCTCAGATTGGGAAATAAATGAACTTTTGGTTGCTTTTGTAGTAGATTTTTAAAAAATAACAATCCTGTAATTCTGTTCTCACAAACCTGCTTGAACTTCTGGGTTCCTCCATGGATTTCTTTATCCCAGAGCTGGGTTTTTATTGGAATTTCTGTGGTGGTTTAGGGCAGTTTAAGGAAGTAATGGGTGGAATTAGGTCTGTTTGATGTGAATCCTCTGGGATGGTTGGGGGGTTCTGGCTCCAGCATTCCAAATGAAAATATTGGTGTTTCCAGGGATTGTGGCTCCAGCATTCCAAGGCTAAAATATCGGGGTTTCCAGGGATTCTGGCTTCAGCATTCCAAGGCTAAAATGTTGAGGTTTCCAGGGATTGTGGCTCCAGCATTCCAAGGCTAAACTGTCAGGGTTTCCAGGGATTGTGGCTCCAGTATTCCAGGGCTAAACTGTTGGGGTTTCCAGGGATTGTGGCTCCAGCATTCCAGGGCTAAAATGTCAGGGTTTCCAGGGATTCTGGCTCCAGCATTCCAAGGCTAAACTGTTGGGGTTTCCAGGGATTCTGGCTCCAGCATTCCAAGTGAAAATATTGATATTTCCAGGGATTCTGGCTTCAGTATTCCAAGGCTAAAATGTTGGAGGTTTTTTTGTTTTGTTTGGCCTTTTTTCCCCATCCTGGTTTTCCTCTCTGTGTCCTGGGAAGGGCTCCCAACAAGTTGATCTGGATGAATTTAGGGATGTGGTTCAGTGCTGGGTTTATGGTTGGACTTGATGATCTCAGAGGGCTTTTCCTACCTAAACAATTCCCTGATTCTGTTTTTTTCCAGGCCTTGGAAAATATCCCCACACATCTCTCCCATGGAGAGATGCCCTCTGGGATGGGATTTCAATGGGATTTTAGCCAAGCACACCCATCCTACAGCACATCCACTGTCATAAATTCCCAGGGTGCTCCCCTAAAACTTTACAGCTCTGGGAATGATTGTGGGAAAAAGTTGAGGTTCAGAGTTGAGTGAGTCCATTTATTTTCACAATCTCAGGTCTGGGTGTTCTTCCAGGCTGGAAGGTCATGGGTGAGCTCATAAAAGGCTTTCAGAGAGAAATGGAGGTGGTTTATTGATCCTCCTGCCCTTTCACTGGGACTTCTCAGAGTTTTCTGTTGTCAGGAATTTTAGTTTTTAATAAGTTTGCTCTTCAAAACGTCCTGTGGTGTCTGTGGGGCACTGTGGGTCTGTGAGGCTGGATCAGAAGGGATTCCAGAGGTGGGATTTGTTCCATCTCTCCCCCAGAAGTGACATATTGTAAATCTCCATTCTTTGCCCACACAGTGCAAATGATGAAACTCAGCACACAGGACGTGCCAATCTCCCCAAATCCAGAGCAAAACCCCCATTGTCCAAGGTTTCCACACTGG